CAAAGCATACATTTCAAGTGAAGGGATAGAAATGTTCAGTGAAACTGCGGGTAAAAACCCTCCTCAATAACAATACACCGATGATTAACTAAAGGGGCTCAGTGCCACAAAGTACAATATGATTTGCCAACCTCCTCAAGCCACTCCGGTTCAAAATTGTCGACCGACGTCACATTAAAAGTTTTTTTAAAACTTGAGGAAAACTTATGGTCATTGTGTGGCACGTGCTGGTCATAGTAAGATTCATACCTGAGAATGTTAATGCACTTGTTTTCTTTTTATCAATCACCATATACCAGTTTATGAGTATATATCACATTATACGTCGATTAGGTCTTTTATGTCGGCCACTTTGTGTCGATCACCTTTTTCGTTATCTGTTACCGCTTCTCAATGCAGTAACATATTCTCACGCGCTTAGGGAGAGCGCTTAGCAACAATAAATCGGAGGTTTTCTTAGTTGCCTTTTAGTAATCAGTGCGTCTCTACCGTATAGATCTATCAAGGTGTTACTTTATACCCAGATATGTGGTCTTCTCATTTGGACAACTCTGTTTTAGATGTCAAGATTAACGTATCTGCATGTTTTGCAGTCTGCGCTCACTGAGTATGTTTTACAGGTTTGCTTCCTATCAATAAAGACTCTCGTTGCCAATATAATCCCACACCTCAATTTCGTCACTTATATTGTGACAAAAAATCTCATTTTCTATATTAACTTCCATCAAAACATTGCCGGAAGGCATCTACTCGCTCAATCCTGCATCTGTTACATGTCTAACCAATTTTGTAACATGGAGTACAACATCATGTGAAGGATAATACTTATTGCCGAGAAAGAGCTTTACTTTTATTCTAACGGGTCAATCAACGAACTGGGTTGACAGAACACCCACCTCTCCAGGCAGCATATCCGCTTGCGTACACTATACATCAAAGTGGATAGAAATGGTGAGCGAAGTGAGGCAGGTTGGAACCAATCGGATGGTTTCATTTGGGAGAGGACAGAAATGCGAATCGACAAAGATGTGAACGAGAAATTGGCTAAGCAAGAGCCTGTGAGTCATACTAACCACCCACGATGTCAGAAATATTGGTCACATCCGTAAGCAAGTGAGACTTTTAGACTGGCAACGAAATTGAATTAACACCTATATGATCAAATAAAATGACTGACCATGTTGGAAAATGCCCGATCATTTTTGATCAGGTGCTGTAATTGTTCACAAATACGTGTAATTCATTCAGAAAACCGAACGAAGTGAAGAATACGTTTCAATTCGTCGTTCCGAAGCTCTACATTATTGCAGACTGAAACATATTGAAAAACAAAGCAAGGTAATTTACCGGATGCTAGCAGGGCGGCAAATTCCGATAGCGTTTTTTGACTCAAGAACAGAGTGTTCAGTGAAGACTGGCGAAAAATGAACTAACCTTGCCAACTGAATGCACCACTCGAACATGTGCGGCCATTTCAGCGCACGTCACTTGTTCTCCTTTCGTGTCTGGGGCTGTGGCCGGATCCACTAGAACAGCAAATGCGGCGTGGCGATGAGACGGACTTTGAGCGTAGAGCAAGAAATGTACGCCGCCCAACGCGAGCCCCGGTCGGACAATCCAGCCACGTGCACGATAATACAAATAGGCCGCGTATCGTCGTAAGAGATCCTGTTCGGCTGAACGAAACTGCTCATTCTCTGTTCTGGCCACATGGGGTTCCAATGCACGAGCACTAAGGTTGCCGGAGCACAAATAGAACCAGAGACGAAGCTGTACGGAAATGAAGCAAGGAGGGGTGTGACAACCTAAACAGATATCGGATGCAAAGCCAGCGACGGGGAAAAAGAGTGATCTGTATCATTTAACACAAACCAAGAGGTAGCGATCGATAAAAGTTCGCCGGTGGAAAGGACTAATCGGAGGAAGACCGACGAAATTACAATTATCGGAATACGAACACAAGATGGGCCATCATCACCATACACGTATGAAACGTGGTAAATCAAACTTTGTAGATCCCAGTTCATTCTCGTCATCCAAGAACCATGTTACAATGCTGGCACAACCACAACAACACTCATCTCCTTTCCACTAACCGAGCAACCTATGCCACTGTTCACGAATTCACAAGCAACTCACCAATTGCGAAGTGGATGAGCACGAACACATCAAAGAGCAAATACCATGTCCTTCGACCTAGTCACATGACTGAAGATTAACAACATGACCTCTCAATCATACACACACATCACCCACTACCATAATATTAACCCATTCATGCTTGGGGCTGGTTATTAATTACCACTTTAGACGGTAAGCCATGTTATCATTAAGTAATACCATCGGTTTCAGATTTGAGCTCCATGATATGGATTCCGTGGAACAGCGATCAAAATTTCGTATTTTATGATCAATGCACGCACAGAGGGAGGGGATATGGGCAGAACACATTGGCAGATTACTTAAGAGTGCATTGTAGTCACTTATGTCTATGTAAGAACAACCGCCTCAGTTTATCCACGGAGTATGAGAAGACCGTTTCAAATTACTCATTAAAAAATCTGATGATGATCACCCAACGAACAGGAAAATGGTCAATATGCTAGAGGCCCCTGGGATACAATGAACACAAAGGAGTACATGTATCCTGGAAAATTCAGGATTAAGACCTGATTAAAGAGACTATACACCTAAAGAAAGGAATTCAGATTGGTTAGAAATCGATTGGCACAGCACGAAACAGTCGGCATATTTCATGAGTCTAGCAGGTGCATGAACTGATAAACCGCGGAAGTAAGTAGTAAACAACTAGAGGGAAATGACCGTAAATTGAAGAACTCTAATTTATATATCAAAGGGTTCTGGGTACTGAAAGTTAAATACTAGTTTACATGGAGCACCCGGAATACTCCCATTTGCGGAGAATAAAAGATCAAGGAGTCGAAGTCTGCTATCTAGACTTCAGTAAGGTCTTCATCCCCGTAAACCATCGGCTGCTGCTCGGAAAGCCAGCATCAATGGGGATCCAACCTAGCTTAGTCAGGTGGACTGACAGCTACCTGACAGGGAGAACCTTTCGCGTAAGGGTGGAGGGGGGTTGATCGAACTGCGGGTATGCATACAGCGAGGTTCCACAAGGCTCGGTCTCTGTGCAACGAGAAGGCGAGCTGGTTGAGAAAAACGTCTATTGATCCAATTCAAAAGTAAACCGTATATGCGTNAATGCTCAACCGCGCGGCAGGATGATTCATGCCCCTTTCTGTGGGTCATTCTTTGTTGGTTTTGGCCCGCACTTGGAACGTACGTTACCTCTTCTTCCGCGTGCCATTCGGACTTGTTTGAACCGATCGCTGCGTGGGATGCGCTGATCGACAGCTCCGACGTTGTGGCGTTCTGTGGATATCTTTCCTGTTAGCTGCGGATTGTCTGTCGGGCTGTGATTGTCGATTCACTCGTTTCGGGGGGCAGTAACATTGTCTCGCGAGGCACTTCCCGCCGCTGCGTCTGCGCGTCTGGTCGGATGAGCCCCATTCTTGATTAGGTCACTAGCCAGGACTCTCTTTGTACCACCTTCCATCACACTTGTACCATTTCTATTTCTGGTCTTCATCAACGACGTCAAACTCCTTGGCTCGCACCAGGGTGTAGACCTCCAGCTACACCTAGATGCAGTGCAAGCATAGTCTGCGGAATGGAGTCTCCCTATGAGCGCAGCGAAGTATAAGGTCGTACCAGCCGAGAGTGCTCGGGGGGAGGGGGGGGCTGGGCCACCCTATAATGGAGCTAGGGATGGAGAAGCTATGGAAGTAGTGCCAGAGATCAGGGATCTAAGGGTCACCCTGAACTCTGTTTTTAACTCCTCTGCCCAGTGTCTTGCTGCGGCACGTACGGTCAATAAAGCGTTGTTCAAGTTGAAGCGCACCGTGAGGTCAAAGGACCCCGTCGTACTAGTCCCGCTCTACATGGCCTTCGTTCTGCCACACCTAGAGTATTGTGTGCAAGCTTGGTCCCCAGCTCTGAAGAAGGATCAAAAGGTGCAGCGAAGGTTAATGCGCATGTCCCCGTACCTTCGGGGAGGGACACATGCTGAACGCCTTCAGGGACTGAACCTGTTTTCACTGGAACGGAGAAGTCTGAGGGGTGACCTAATTGGAACTTTCCGTATCTTGACGGGTTTCTCTCATGGAATCTCCCACCTACTCCAGCGGAACGACGTCCCCAAAAGAAGGGGTCACAACATGAAGTTAGAAAAGCCCACGGCAATCAAACGCCTCAGAGCGGCCTTTTTCTCGCATCGGGTTGTAAATCCATGTAAAATGTTGCCTCAGGAGGTAGTGAAGTCGAAAACGATTGCCGAGTACAAACTGAAGCTTGACGCATCCTGGTCATCATCATTCCTCGATTGTATCTGAAACCGGGCCTAAGGTCGCTAATGGCTCGTCCGTCTCCGTCCCCTCTTTATATTAAGCTCTTCCATCTTAAGATACTTCACTTTGATTTCTCCAACTCCCACAACTCCATTTTCATTCACTGTTCAACACACATTTTACTGAAATTTCTCAACATCCAGCAACTTCACCTTTAGATCATGTTTCTTCTCCACAACACATTTCTAACTCTGAGTAACTCGGAGAGGAAGGTCGCGAGCTGTTGCTTTGACTCTGACAGAACCGCAGACTTCCACTGTCACTCAGAGGAACCATCAGAAGTGCGTTTTCCTTTTCCATAACCGCACTCACTCAAGTTTACGTGAACGAACTAGCAATTGTCGCAGCGCCGCGGTGCTCCCAAGCTCATTGGTGCAAGAAACTGGACTGCTTCCGGTACCGCCGCAAGTCCTGTGACCTATCCTGTCCTGAGTAAAATATACCAAGAACAAACTTTACGGAGTGGTACCAATAGACCATATTGAGGTGGATGGATAGGAAGTCGAAGAATACCGATTAAGGTTGAAACACGAATAACAGAATTTACAGGCAAATTGATCCAACTGCACTCGAACCCCGAATTCGAATAAGCCTTGGTTGGATGATATCAAATTTTACCGTGTGCTTACCGGATACGTTACATCGGTGGGTGTACTTGCATTTGGATCGGGCGGGAGAAGGATGTCCAAACAGCCAAGGGTGTGGGACAGAAACAGAATCTGAAATGCATTGGGGGTAATGATGATGAGTCGTGCACAGAGACTGTATCCAGTTTGAGAAGACAACAGTATGACCATGTAGAATATTATTATGGATTTGAAAGAGATTATTCATGGGAGGAGATGAGTGCAAAACGAATTCAGTGGTACGATTTTTATCCAAAACTATATACTGCTTCCACACGTCTTAAGACCGTTTCCCGGAGAGAAGAGGAATCAGAGGCAGAGGTGCATACAGACAAATATTGTGAGATGTTTAAAATGTGAATACTGGAGAGTTGTTTTCGTGGCATTATATGTGAATATCATCCTACACATATGCAAGTGTTTAAGGTGTATTTTCTCTTGAGAAGACGAATTCAGCACAGCAACAGACATTCCATTGAAGACATTTAAACCTCATGAGCGTCAAGAAAGAATTGAAGTGGAATATAAATGCTGGAATTGAGAACAATATAAAGTGTCACAAAGATTGAGGAAACCAGGGCTTAAATTATTATTATATGTAATGTATTGGGCACACGTATGTGTCCAGACGTGTAAATCGAAAAGATAATGTCACAAGAATTTGGTTAGCAATGATTCCGTGTTGACGGAATTGATTTTCTCCAGTTTGCGGAAACTGGTAATAGGTTTGCAAACGTTTTATCACCAGCCGAGTTGAGACCATCAGGGCCTACTGTACGGCGACGTTCTGTTTCTGTTCACTCATTCACACAAGTGATTTTTCAGCGATGTTGAGGTTCATTGTGCGGAACGCAGTTAAAAACTACGGAGTGTTGCAAAAAGGTACAACTACTCGAAAGTGTACGAAACACAAAAGAAAAAGTAATAAAATAATAAAACCTTGGGGAGTCCGAAACTTACTTCTTCACCAGTTAAGAATAATTCGGATTTACCATCGCTTGTTACTGATTCCCGTCTATCTTCTGTCATAGTCATCATAAACGGTTCAGTTTGATTGCCTATTTCCTCATCGTCCGTGTCAGCGGCCCTGTAACATAATACAATTTACATTCTTACTACTCATGAGTAGGTAAAGAAGAAAACATGATCTAACAGCATACTAGGAAAGTGGAGCGGAACAGTGTGTTGACAATGAAAACGATCGGAAAAGCGAGGAAATCTGTAAAAAGGAGCATCACCAAATATCGAATAGGAAATTAAAGTACAGAATAAAAAAATAAAATTCAAGTGCCGATTTGATCAAATCGAATTTGGTTTTGGCAGATCTATTTGATCGTAAATCACGTTGTTTTTATAAACCTTTGTTAGCAGTTCCATTGACAAAAATCATTCATTTTATCAAATCCAGAAGAACGATGCAGTAACTGCAAGGAATAGAAACTATGAGGGGTGGTAAGCAGAATGGACAATTGGTCATAACTTATCATTTTCGCATACTTAAACAGTCCATGACAATGACGGTAAATTACTTGACCAGATATGGATTTTGAAACATAAAAGATGGATAGTGGACGGGAAATTTACCATCGTCGTACTACATTTCGATCCAGTTTAACCGCATCTCCATAGCCTAGTAAACAATTAGTTCTATCATACACATTGTCGCATTTGGTCCCACGGAGAATCGTGAGCTCCCTAAAATAATGTAGCAAGAATACAAAATCATGAACAGTATTTAGACAGTTTGAGCACGAGTACAGGTTCACATTTTTAAAACTTTCTGTGCACCTTTTCCTTAAAATGTCCTAGTTAGACTAGCATTTTTCACTTGGTCTTTTATTAGGGATCTTTTTCCTCATCTCGAAAGTATTTTGAGCGGATGCAAATAACCAATTGGGTTGCACTTCAATGAAGATCTAAGTTTAGGGTACCCACAAGCGCAACTGCGGTCTGTTTATGAAGTACTCTAGGCGTATCATTCCAATGCCGAATACTCGGTGTAGGAATGTACTTTGGATGCTGCAAAATGAAGACCATGGCACAAATGCGCTAATAGGCTTTATGTGTAACATTTGACCTGAAATAGGTCGCGAACGAAAGTAACGGGTCACATGCTGCATGAATTATCCTCTTTTTAACTGGATAAAAGTCCCAAAAGTAGATATTGAATATGTTGCCTGTAGGTACCTCATCATGTGGCTCAGTTCCTTGATGAATACTACATTGCTTGCAAACATCTCGACTGATTACGCGAACTTAGTAGGGATGATCGACGTTCCAACAGCAATAGCAGTGGCAATTTTAGTAAGTTACGAAAACGGAAGCAGAATATGCTGCACCACTGTCAATAAAAGTCATCCATCGGACGACTGTCTAACACAATAGAAGCTTCTGTATGACCATTGCAGTCTCTCAACAATTTCTTCTGATCGTGCCTATGTACAAAACCCCTTCGACGATAACTTTACTGCTAAAAGCAAGAGTTCAAGCAATCAAGACGCACACAAATTAGGTATTTTTTCAGCAACAACAACAAACTCTAAACTGTAAAATCATGCAAGCACGTGGTCACATGCCAACTCTAAATCCAGTCAAATCAAACACACACAAACGCATTAGCACCCGAGGTTGTTTAAAAACCTCTCGTAATCAAAGCGCACAGATGTTTCGATGTAACGAAGTACGTGACAGGTGACGCAAACAAGAACCTTTCCAGTTCAGTACTCAAACACTGATATTATTTTCTAAATAGTTTCATCAGCTCCGGGGATAAAGTACTTAATCAATTAGTCGCGCACAAATCAATGTATAGCTTCTATTTATGAACAGAATGTAGCAGTCGGTGTCATGCGATAGTCAATCGTGCGCTACGGAACACAAAAAGTAACAATGAGTATCATCGATAGAGTCAAATAGTGTGAAAAATTGCATCCGAAGCTCTCGTGCTTGTACGACAGAGGAAATCCAGCTAAAAGGGGTGTGAAGCGACGAACCCTTTAACACGTATTTATTGCACCGTGTAAAACGATGATTGTCAATATATCCAGAGGTAGAAATGGGAAAAAGGAATCGGTTTCACCTGCCAAAAGTTAATTTAATCGCCTGCACCAGGTTGAAGAATGCGACTATCGCTGAACTGCACGTTAAAGGGTGATATCGGGTTATCCCCAAATGTTGTAACTGGGTTTTCTGGACACAGTAAAACTAGTACAGATTTCCCTTACTTGAAACAGCATTTTTCGCATACCCATTTGCAAAGAGAAGAGGACGGTAGATCACTACGAAAGCCATATCCCAGAGCAAAGCATACATATCTCTACTGAATTGTACTGCAGAAAATTGCATTATTTGTGTGCATGATCACATTAAAACGAGATTGCCACGATAAGATACATGCATTGTATAGTTCGGTACATGCTGCGGGGGCTTTGAAAGATTGACCGCAACCGCCATGTGAGCTTGAGCGTACTGACGGATAACCCGATACGGCTTTGTTGGTCAACTCAATGTTGCGTTATCAATCAATTCGTAACAATTGCGAAAGTGTGAGTTTGGTGCTAACGTGCCCTATTTCCATGCAACCCTATACACAACGCCTTATACACCCTAGAGTTGAGCCCAATGAGGAATGTGCTGATCCCTACGGCTAACTAAATGCGTTGACTGAGGAAAGGAGTTTCGGACTAACAGTAGAGGACTGATAGCAATACGCAACTCAAGCTAACAAAGGTGATTGTTATCAAACATTAAACGTTCCATCACTCTAACTAGTGCCGCCAAAAAATGCAGCAGTCGGATCCGAGGATAGAACTACTATATTTAAAAAGATGCTAAGCGAACATGTTCCTCAACGGTAAACGATCTGAGAGAGAATTCGAATGGCGGGTCACCTATCTGCTGCCCATTCTTGAAGCACTCGAAAATGGATCATTGCCGGATAAGACAGAAACAATCTGGAGGTTTTGTTCTCCAACCCTCAAGTGCTAACTGAGATCATCTTTCTAACGAGTTGGATATGATGCGAAGTTTGTGCCACATTGCGCAAAGAAGGCCTCTCACTTATTATGGTCATTCCAAAAAGTGAGAAGTTCCACTGAACACCAGAACTAGAGGTGATTATCGGAGAACCGACTATCACAAGCGGCAAAAGATGTCTAAGAATAACAAAACCCCACGAAAAATTTACCGTGATCATTGATGCTAACAACACTTGCGAATGATACGGTTTTTTCTCAACAATCTATAAAAATCGAATATTTGAGCCGCCTATTCACGGTTACCAGGAAGTATTTCAAGCAGTGAGTAGGAGTGTTTGGCGGTTGTGTGGATATTAGACAACCGGAGTACATATCTGACTGCGTAAACCGTTCACATAAGAACTGATTACAAACACCTGACATGATCGATGATAACACGTTTTCAGAAAGGACGCGATGAACTTGCAAACGTTTAACGAGTGGTGCTGCAACTTACAAGTGTCATAGAGAAAACAACATGGTGCGGACCATTTGTGAACAGTGAATATAAACGAAACCAAAATCAGTATCACCAAAAATTAGTGACCGTTCAAGATCTGGCACCATCTGGTGTGGAAATTGAGCATCGAGCATGATTTGAGACCAAGAAGACTCCCATTCATCCGGATAAGACTTCGCGACAAGGTGATCAAGCTGACCCGCGATGGAACCTACGTGAAAGCGTATCCGGTTCTCGTTCTGTTGCGATGTGAAATGTTTCGACCAACTGTGCACCGAAAAGAGTTTGAACATATTCGTTCTTTTTGTGAGTGTCAATAGAATTAGGATACGATACCAGCGACCCCAGAAATACGGCAAATATTTCACTCGCAAGAGTTGGCTGTATTGGGGCCGTTAACTATGAGTTCCTCGAGGGGACAAGTATTTTTTGATAATGATGAAATATGTATCTCTCTGGGTAGAATTGATAATCTAGTATCGGATACGTTGTTATTGGGGCATAAAACGAACACAGACGGCCTCTTTTCGTTCTCAGGCCAACGGGATAATAGAACGATTTAATAGAACCATGATGGAGTAGTTGAATAACTATTAGAGTGGTTAGAAGAAAACCCGTCACACGTCTTATCCAACTATAGAACGTGTCATTCGGAAACGGAGACAACACCTTACAAGCTGATATTCGAAAGAAAATCTGGTACAGTTTTGTACGTGTTTCTTGGAAGAAGTGGTCTCAAAAAGTCATCTAGAAATGAACAGGATAAGGTAGAGATGAGCGGTTTAGAGCAACAGGCAACAGGAAATTAGCAAAACACGGCACGATAACCAAAATCATTCACGGTAGAGAAAACCATTCGAACTAGGGTACTTGGTAAAAGTGAGAAATCAAAGCCGGCCTGAAACTACGGTACCCGGAGCGGCAAATTTCAAAAAAGTGGCGAATCGGGCCGTTTAATTTTCCTGGGAAGAAGAAAACCAGTTCCTGGATCAGTAAAGAACGAACTACAAGGTGCCCGAGATAAACATTTTACGAAAAAGGCTAATGTTATGAAAGATAATGGACGGAAAGGATTAGCAGAGAATCAGAAGAATGAAGTTTCTGCAACAAGTCACACAAGAGTGGAAGGAAACAAAGCTGGAGTCAATGTTCGAGACAGCCCTTCCGGTATAAGATCGGCAACCGAATAAGGATGATGCTGGGATATATTAACCCCAGACACGTAGAGCGATTGATCGTTCTCAATGATCCAACTAATTCAGCAGGAACAGCACAACAACTAATAGGCAAGCCACTGCTCAATATCTGGTCGAAAATGTCAGATATGAACCAACAAGTGACACCGCTCATCAATCTTCCATGCGGTCGTGATATAGCTGTATATGGTCGAAAGTGCAAATGACTAGTTTTTGAATTTGATTCATGCCTATCTTTCGTCCATGGACATTCCCTACCACAACATATTTGCACCAGACAGAGAAATGAACAAACAGTGCTCAAATGCGGCCTTCATCAGTGGTACAGAGTGAGCGCATAAGCGAGAGGAATATCTCTAGTCCTCCTTTCACTAGAGAGCAAAGTCAGAGCAAGAGAGAGAGAGTCAGAGATCAATGTCCATTTGAGATGAAGTGAGACGAATGAGGGGTTTAAGGAAGAGCGTTTATTATTATCACAAACAATACGGAGCTGCTAGCCGCACAGAAGCGTGAGTTTTTACTCGAACGGAGAACCGAGGCAACCTGGTGCGGAGAGGAGGCTAATTTTGCTACACAATGCCGGGGGTTGCCTTGACTACAGAAACATCCTCGAAAAGCTGCCACGCTAAAGACAAAAGATTCTCCACCGCCTCTCAGCAATGGTCACTATGGTAATGATAATGATAATAGTAATAATAAACCGAAGTACAATTCAAGAAGTAGTACAGTAAGTACAAAAATATCGTAAAATCCTCCAGCAATATGGGCAAAAGCCAACCGACTGGGATCTTCGAAATTCTTGTTGTTCGATGAATACTACTGGGAAGGTCAAACAATGCATCTGTGTTGATGGGTGGAAAGATCTTAGCAATTACGATTTTATCTCCAGCATTACTATTTCAATCTTGGAGCAATCTAAGCGGTCGCATGCAATAGATATTTCGTTCAGTTTCTCTTAATAAAGCGGGAATCAATAGGCAACCCCATATGAATCGAACCACAAAGAAGAAACATGCTCAGGAATAATAGTACAGGATTTTGCACTACAAAATATGGTGACAAGACCGAAAAGATAACCCCCAAACACGCATTGCAATGATTACATGATAAAGAGTGAAAGTGATCTACGGATTTCAATCATTCATCCAAACTGGAAAAAGGGTCCCACTGAAATTATAGGTGGTAAGGCAGATAATCGGTCTAAGCGGTGATGCAAGACCGGTCATGGTCGGCACAAAACGTGTAGGAATGGCTGTTAGCAAAAACACCTGTAAAGACAGTGAAATAACGTCAAAACATCCGCTAAACTGCAACAAGATCTGCTTAGATGAACCGCAGTCTAAATTTCACCAATAATCCCATCATAATTGAGTGTTATACTGTGCTAGAAACGAATGCTCCAAGAAAACAACTACCCATGACAGTTTATCATAAGCAGATCAAACCAACCCGGGACTAAAGTGATTGGGTGATCATAGCAGCTACCAAGTCCGCGTTTTCTTCCGAATACATAAAGTTTTAGGGTTTCAAATAAAGGCAACAAAGGATCTTATAGAAATGCAGGACCAAGTCAACGGCATCTACAGGGTCAGGTGAAAGGACTTTCCTGGAGAATACAAAAGACGAACAAGCAGATGATTAATAGTTACAGGACCGCAAAGGAAAGAAAGGACTGATTAAGTAACAGAATCTGGATAAATAGGAATCGGTGATCGCACTTCACGCTACCGCCGAATAGCACCGAGAAGACCATGGACGCACAACAGTCCTACGAGGTTTGCGATCAAACACTGAGCGCCTGCCTATATGCTCAGGTTTTGGCAAGTGGCGACCATCCCGAGGTCAGAGGTTTCAAGAATTTGAATAACGCCAATGTGATTTATGGACAAACGTCCTAACGCAGGGGTGACCTCAGAGAAGCCCAATCTTATGGACAGGTGTGGGAGGAATGGATTTATGAGGGGCATATTCTCGATCGGAAACGTACACACGGAGTGAAATTCTGACATTGGTCAGCTAATAACTAGCACCTGAACAATTCGATGGAAGAAGTACCTCAAAAAGACTAATCTCTGTAACCGAAAGGTTTGCTTATTATCAATTTTATTGACGAAGATAATCATTCAAAAGCACATACCACCTCTTAATACATTAAATGGCCAAGGTTTTTTACGCTCTAGTGCTCAGAATCAACTTGAAGACCGCTGTAGAATCTAACGTGATTACCTTATGATTACACACCTCAACAGGAGGTCATGAGTTCGAACTTCACCACCAATGATCATCTTTCCCACTTCTGTAAATCACTTGACAGTCTTGGATCGGTTATAGCTCTCTTTATGAACAACTATCCGCGCAGAACTGGGACACAGTATTCTGCATGTGGTGTCGAGCTCAACGTTTATCGGAGGACAATCAATCTAACATGATTAAGCTGTATTCCATCAGCACTCAAACGCTATCAAAAGAAATACAAATAAAAGAGCTTTGATTTGGACAAACTGTCCGTTAAGTCCTACAGGACGATAGACATTTTTCAGCAGCCGTACACAACGACTAGTCCGAGAAGGGTTGAATGAGCGTTGCAGCTGTCCGGTTGGCGTTGTTATGAGGTACAAAGAAGAGTAAACACAGATCGTCGGTGTTCAAACGCTAATGTCTGCACCACGTTGTTCTGGTGGGAGAACTGAATGAGGAACACGTAGGTTAAACGAATAGTTTGAGGTTATCGTAGTCATGCACTGGCGTAACAGCTTTACCTTCACGAATTTCGGTGGGTGCGGTATAAGTTACGCATATCCTCTGATAGGCTCCCTCGGCGTGTGATGTTTGTCGAGGTTGGTGAAAAAAGTCAAGGTCGTTGGCATAAAACCTAGCCCTGGGGCATGTAAACTCTCATCAGGTGTGCCAGTCATATAAAGTTGCTCACTGGGGATCTGGGAACAACCCGGTCAAGGGGCTGAGTGTCGAAATCAGTGATATCTGCGCATCTACTCACATTTCATGCAGGGCTAGTTCATCTTCTGTACGTTTCTATTGGTAAGGCATTCAGCTTTTCAGTTCTTTCGTTTACTTCTTCCTTACTGGTCGAAATGTGGCAAAAGAACGGAGGCATAGAAAGAGTTCAATGTCTGGTAACATTGAAGCCGATACACAGACCTGTCAAACAAAGAACTTACATTTTGTCCATATCGAACTGGTGAACAAAGAGTCGTTCCTCTGATGGCAAGTAACCATAGTAACCCTGAAAATAAAGAAAAGAAAGATTAGAGGTCCGATGGATGAAAGCTTGAAATTGCCTCAATTATCAGTATTCCGACGTTTCTATATGACGAAAACTACGTATTATTTTCATCGCCAGAAGCAACAAATAGTGGTAATTCATAAGGTTCAGAGAAAACCAAATTGCCCTCGAGGGTATTCAAGCTTTTGGCCCCATTAATGACACGTTGTAGACACTGCCCGACATCAAGCTGTTTTCGATTTTCCTAGTACCTTGTTGCGGAGATTCTCACATTTAAAATAATGTCAATGAAGGCATTACAAAACCTACACATTTCATCAAATGTTTTTCTTTCTTCGATTCACTCGTAAACCAATAGTGCTATATTCAGGATACCTGAAGTTTTCGTGGGCATGTGGGATCTAGTCACAACTTATAACTTATTTACGTGGACAGCGTCCGTTGGCGCATCCACCAGTTCGGTCTCCATCGCTCTCTTCTGGCGAAAACTGAATTGAAAGAAAATGTCATACCTGACGTTTGAATCCAGGGATATCAGTTACGGAAAGTTTTCCTATGTAAAGGAAACTGAAAAATCCTCATTCCAATCTCTGCAAAGGATGCAACCACTGGCCCAGGACATGATGGATGCCATAGTCAACTGTCTGATTGCGTATCAAGATATGCAGAAGATTTTTGATGTAGGGAAACGCATTCATCTGCATGGTGTATGATTGGATCAACTGAATACTGGTTCTAAACTAATAGCAATTTTGAAGAAATGAACCTCTGTTGTACAGTAAAGTATTCAGTTGCAGTGAGTTTACGTGAATGAAGCTTTGACAGGGTAGTTATTTGTGAGAGACAAATAACGATTTCGTCAGTACTACATTTATTCACCACTCGCCAAACGCGAAACATAAGCATTCTTCCTTCATCTAAAAGTGCCCTTTACCGCAGTCGACAGAACGACACTCCAAGATAGCTTCATTTCAAAGGTGTGTGTGTTTATTTCATTGTATGCACTGCATACAAAAACTGAAGGCACGTTTTGGGTTTAGGGCTATTTTTATCTGGACTGACAGCTCCCTATTTCCGCGTTCAACTCCATAATGGATATGATGCAGGAAACGGCCTTGTCCTCGTGGAGAAGGACGAGGACGGCATTGAAGTGCTCCCAGACGGCAGGTGATATGATTAGGAGTCCTGTGGTGTGAAGATAAAGCAAGAATACAAGCTTTTGAGAATCATTAGTTTTGGGGTAGTTATGTTGGGTGTGCATTTTAATCAAAGTGTAAAATTATTCCATCGGATTGGGTTTTCTATAGCTCTTAGTATTATTCTGATTGCGTAGGCTCTAGGTAATAAGAAAAACTTTTGCTACTTGAGCCACTCGATTTGTCCTGGTTTGTGAAACATGGATGAAGTGTCGGTACGCATTCGGACGCATCGATTGACGTTTCCCAACTGAAGACAACTCTAGGACCACCCAGATATTTGGGTGTCCTTAATGGGTCGGGCCTGAGAAAGTTCATTCAATGCCGCTGTATGGGTGCCGACATATGGTCGTTGGGGGAGTAGAATGGACAATAATTGTTGGCGATCGAAGAACGTCTACTAGGCGCACTACATCAGTCTGGTAAGGCAACCCAACAAGTAAGGGTGAGGTTTGAT